CTCGGCTCCCATTATATTGTTGCTCACCCACCGATTGCACCTGTGGGCCTTCTGGCACATATTCCGCCCCCACCGCCGCCCCTCGTGATACCGCCGTCTCCCCCGGCCGCCAGTGAAGCGTGGGGAGTTGTTGCTCCCCGTCCTGGGGATCGACCACCAGCAGCTCGACCATCAAGATCAAGTCTGCATTGGGGGCACATCGCTATCTTTTATCTCGCTGAGCAGATGCATCGATGGGAACGATTCATTTTTCGGTTTGATAGACAATTTACCTCTGTGGGCGCTCTCAAGTCTATCAATGGTGAGTTGGTATCACATATATGGGCATAGTCGGAGCTAAAAATAAAACTATAGGCGAAGCGCCGCTTCTCAAAGAATTCGAGGTTTCTTGCGCAGAAGCGGGTTATTATCCAGATTGGTCGTGGCTTCCCAATGCCCCATCTCATGCAGAGCTGGTGCTCCCAAAGCTCAAGGCGTTGACCCTACAATATACCCCATTTAAATGGTCTTCGCCCATGCTTGTGAAAAATCTTTCCTCGCTCAACCTTCGCGCCCTCCCCAGTACTGGCCTCACCCTCGACCGCATACTTTACATAGTTGCAAACAACCCCTGCCTTGAATCCTTAACCCTAAACTTCTCCAGCGTCCTCCCCACCGTCTTACCTCTGTCACCCACAACTCTTCGCCGTCTGAAGACATTACACATAGGCGGACATGCAATTCTATTACATCTCGTCGACGTCCTTGTGCTTCCCGCCTTGACAGAGCTCGCACTGGACCTTGAAGCACGCGACACAGTCGAAGACAGCATCTGCAGCCTCCTGGTGCGCTCGTCCGACCCTCCCGTCGTACACCTCTCCATCGCATACGGCCTCCACATCGACACAGCCTACTTCTATGCCCCGCCCTTGAATCTGATGTTATCATGGAGTGCAGTCCTCCCGGACCTTCCCCACCTCCAGAGCCTGCACATAGGGAGCACGGCTCTCGAACCGCTATTCGTGGCGCTTAGCGAAGAGCCCTGGCTCTGTCCCGACCTCGAGGAGTTGAGGATGAAGGGGTGCCATATGCATAGCGATGGCCTCGGGAAGTTGGTATCCATGGTGGAGTTGCGAAACCCACCGGATGGTGCTCTGGCGCAGGCGCCAGTGAAGAGGCTTAAATCGTTGGAGTTGTACGATTGCGCGGGCATTGGGGAGGATGTCCTGGAATGGCTTGGGTCCAGGGTGGACGAAGTCGTGTGTACGTCGGACCCAGAGTATGATCGATGAGGTCAGCAAGATGCTAGCTGGATGCTAGGATGCTGGATTTTTTGGATTAACGGCGTTGATTGGAGCCGTAATATTGCCTTTTCTTGGTTCTTTTTGTTGTGTGCCCTTTGGGTATGTAGCGTACTCACGACCATGGCGCAGAACACTTTTGGCGAAGAGATCTATTTTTTAGTGTTATATCTACAATGGAAGTGTGTATTGTACTACCTATTTTGTATGTATTCTTTAGTACGCGATTCGGACGTACCGACATATTAGTGCATTTGTATGAGTAAAGTAACAGAGTCGGGTAGGAATGAATGAGATGGGAACCTGCAGTCTGCAGCTTGGGCCTATATGAAACATGAAACGAGCGATAAACCTCCAGCGCGCTCAATTGTTGGGATGTAACAACACCTGACTCAACCTCTTCTCGACCTCATTCCAAAGTACTCGATGCCTCTGATCCACAGGATCCTCAGGGAACCCCGTCAACTCTCCGTCCAAACCATATAGCCAATTATCACCCATCGTCTCTAGCCCGGAAAATGTAAGCGCTAAGAAGGCTGCAACGCCATCTGGATCATTAATCGGCGAGCGGCAATAGCAGAAGTCGGTGAGGGAGCGATGGGGCACGATCGCGCCCAGGTCTGCGAAGCTTGAGACATCCTCGGTAGCGTCGATGCGGAGCGTGAGCTCCTGGAGGTGTGGACAGGCAGAGAGGAGCGGGAGCAGGCCGGTGAGTGTGACTGAAGGCGTGGATCTGGAGGTGCGTTCGGGGAAATTGAGGACCTCGAGACGGTGCCACGCTGCGCCTATTTTGGCGAGGTCGGCGTTTGTGAGGTGGACGGGGCTGTCGGTCTCGAGATGGAGTGTGGTTAGATTGGGAAGTGAAAGTAATGGGGTTAGCGTCGCGAAGTCAAGAGGGTGGACATTGCATGGTGGTTCCCAAGGCAAGAAGGCAATTTTGACCTTGAGGGAGGATAGGTTTTTTGAGAGAGCAGCACTGTTTCGTATGCTCTGGAACAGATGGCGTACATCACGGCTGCCGGTGCTGTCGCTATAAATCTCCAACGAAGCGAGGCGTTCAAATGCATGCGGAAGTTTGAGCAGCCTCGTACAGGGTTCAACACATGGGGTGTTGAGATGGAGTTTTCTGAGGCTCGGGAACAGCTGGTCGCAGTGCATGTGATGCTCTACCACTTGGGTGATAGTTGCCGAAGACAGGGATATGGTTAATTCCGCGAGACTCGATAAAGCCGAAAAGCGAAGGAGGGTGGAGTAGTCCACGTCGAAAGAAAGGGCCTCGAGCACTTTTAATGAATGGAAACTGCAAAGGAGCGAAGTGAAGTGGGGAGACGCGTATGTTTTGAGCTGCCACTGGTCCTCCGAACGGTACTCGTCTACTTTGAACGAATGTATGGTGCAAGAGGCTTCCGTTAACACACGCCCAATGGTCTTCCAAGGAATATCAGGGGAATGTTCTACGCCATCGATGGCTCTCGCCTTTAGCTTTCCGAATAAGATGAGATCGATGGACGACAGACGCGAACCAATGATAAGGCGTGGGTAAAGAGCGTGGTTTTCGAAATCGGTGGCGTACAAAGCTGCATGTTGGACATGGGGTAGAATAGGTCCAACGACAGGCTGACGAGAGTAAAGGATGTGGAGGAACAGTTTGTCGAGAGCGTAAGGCCGAAATGCACCAGGGCGAGGACGATGTACAACACGGACTCTGGAGGCATTCTCCCGTATTCTGCTGTAATCTTCAAACCCCAAGTTACGATTGAAACGCTGTGCGACGTTTTTGAGCTTCAATTCATATCCATAATAATGCAACATACCAATCCTCTCGTTCCAGTTCGCCAAGCAACCGGAATATCTTTTGCCTCCTCAATTATATTCACGGCATCAGAAGGAAGGCACCGAAGTATAGGGTCCAAGCCCAAGATACTGCGCCAAAGAACGTTGAGAGCTGGTTCTTTGAAGGAGCGACATGTTAAGGCGATGTTCACGAGAGCTATGGATCCCGGGAATTGTACCCATCTATCCTCAGTCGGTTTCGTATCGATGATCTGGCTGAAGATGGAGTTGAGAATCTCGGGTATCTGCAGACACCGGTGCATGGTAGAAGTTCAAGAAAGGTGAAGCCTATGATGTCCATGCATTCTGTATTTAAGGCTCGGACCATTTTAAAATGGCAGAGAGAGGAAGAGCCGATCGCTGAATTTTTGAATTGAAAGCAGTTCTGTTTTTTTCCGTTCAAAATGTGTTGACGCGCGTAGAAAGTCGATTTGTCATCATTACGTAGTCGTTCTCCGAGTTCCGACTTGGCTGTGCGGTGGCGGGAGACGGGAAGGCGGGAAGAGGCGGGAAGAGGCGGGAAGGACGCGGAGGACGCGAAGATACGAGAAGACGCACCATGATGAGCAGATGAGACGGAATGGAGGGTCAGAATATCCCACAAGATTGCCTTTCAAGAGGTCTTGAACTCTTCTTATTTCAAATGTTCTTTTTGACTCTTACAACTCTCATGGCGCTATAGTGTAGTGGTTATCACTCGGGATTTTGATAATATATTCCCGAAACCCAGGTTCGAACCCTGGTAGCGCCTTACTTGTGGTACATGACTCTGTTTTTGCCTTTACTTTACAGAACTACCCACAGGGCGAATATAACCCGTCTAAGTATGTTATGTAGGACACATCGCCGTCCACAAAGACCCCTCATGAAACCATGCTGTGTAAGTGGGAAGACTTCAACCTAGGCGTTTTGCTTATCCTCGTTCAGTGTTTGCGAAACGTGTTGAAAGTATTGAAATCATACTCGGGAGGCTGACTATGTATGTTATGATGAGAACTGAGTGCATATAATTGCTTGATGATTTAGAATGTGTTTGCAACATACAGAGATGTAATGGTGAGATAAAACTATAGAAACAAAGGCGACTTTGACTGCAAGTCCATGGATACATACGTCGTAGTGCACCGCGAATATAACTGTACAAGGTCCGAAGATAATGATAATAACAAATAAAATACTTTGGGCCTCAACTCACAGATTGTTTCAAACAGGTATACTTGACGAGGTTTCATGGAGCACCCGCCTCCGCCCCAACCTCCACCTGCCGCGTGAATACATTTCCTTGCTGTCTCAGAGCGTCCTGCACAATCTTCATCGCCTCAAGGACTCTTTCTTCCTCGAGCCTCCTTCCGACGATCTGTACCCCTAGAGGCAGTCCATGCATGCCCTCAACATCGTACGCAGAATAAGCAAGTGTGCTCAAGGGCGAGGAGGGCTTGAAATCAGCCGGCAGGGCATCAAGTTCTTTGTCAACATGGGTAACTGGTAGGACGCCAGCAGTGTAATCCAACTGGTGGTCGAGGCGAAGCCAGCATAAGCGGGTATCATTCAATGGGCGGAATAACGACCTACCAGACTGAAAATGGTCGTAAAGCTTGCCGTCATCAAGTTCACCTTCTCCGACTCTCCGTGTTTGAAGGCCGGGAAGGGATGGGGTACTGTTATCACGAAATCCAGACCATCCTCTCTCCAGCGCTCGTGCCACCGCGCGCGATATGCCTCACGCTGGGCAGTGATAGTGCGAAGCTCAGTGACAGTTTTGCCGTTCATGATCCGGAGCAGAGACGCAGACGCAGGGTCGGACTTGCGTGTCAAATATGCAAGGAATTGTTTGAAAGCTTTTGGGAGCGCGAGGAGGTCAAGTACAGAAGAAGAAGCTTTGGATAGGCTTTCGCCAGGCGAGACTTGTGACCGAAGCTGTTCGCCTGTAATAACATGTTAGAATAACTTCGTTCTGCGAGGTGCGAGGACAAAAAGCATGCGTTACCTCCATCGCTGAAGAGCAACTGGTAGGCGATATTGAGACCGTGTTCGAGATCTGGAGGCATGCTGAGTGCAAAAGCTCATCAGTGAACAACAATGACACGATCGTTTTGGACATACAATTCGACGACCTCGTGTCCCTGCTTACGAAGTGCCGTAGCCACCATTGAGAGGGCACGTTTGCACGCTGGAGTGATCGGCACCGCGCCTGACGGTATTGTTAAAAAGAAGTCGCGAAGAGGAAGTACTATTTCCTACCTCCTTCTAACATGATGCCCCACTTTAATTTTCGTCCATCCTCACGAAGATCCACGTTTCTCCACGGAATTGGATGGCACTACGTAACGTCAATCGTCAATGCAGATGCAGGATACAGAAATGTACCGTGTGGTCGTACTCCCAAGGCTTAGCCATTACAACGCGCTTCCAAAACTCGTCCAGATCCTCTAGACTGCCAGCCATAGGGGACGCCACGAGCTGCAGGCCCTCTAAGCCATCCATAGGCGACTGATTACCCCACGAGGGGAACCTTCCTGCACTCCCCTTGAGGCTCCAAATGCCACAGAAGTGCGCTGGAATCCTGACGCTCCCGGCCAAATCGGATCCAACTTCGATCTTGCTGCCCCCGCACGCGACGAGAGCTGCACCGCCACCAGTTGATGCACCAGCAACATGGGTGCTCTTGTAAGGATTCGAAGTGCGGCCATATACGTCCGAGCTGGTCTCGAGCCCAAGGAGACCAGCGGGCACAGTAGTCTTTGCGTGAACGAGAGCACCTGCATCCTGAAGCAGTCGCACGATCGCAGATGAAATCGCAACTGGACGGTTGGTGTTGCGCGAGAATCCAATAGTGGTATCGTGACCCGCAATGTCGATCGTATCTGAGGGCCAGTTTCATTTATTTCAAGAGCAGGACAAGAGAATGGGCTTACCCTTGATACTGATTGGTACACCTAGTAGCGATCGGTCCCGGGTTGAATCAAGCCCATCATCGGTGTTGTGCGGGAGATTTGCAACAGCGGGAATATGCATGGCCTCGTCGAACATAAAATCTGTGAGGCAGTTCGTTGCAGCCTGAGCTGCGACAGCTTTCTTAGCGTATGTGAGCATGATATCTGCGGGCACGATATTCCCAGCTTTAGATTCTGAGACGAGTTGAGCAAGAGAAAGAGAGTGGATTTTCTGTTCAGTTAAGGAGAGTGGGGTGGAATAGACAGGAGGAAGTGCATTCAAGGCTGCCTGGCGCTCGGTCTGCTTGCGCGTGCTGATAGAAGTGAGCTCATTCAGATCATAATATATGATTACAGACTTACCACGCATCTCTGTGAGGGATTGAGAAGAAAGAGAACATGGTGGGCCAGTAAAATGCGGTGATTAGAAGATCGACGCAGTTTATATACGCAAAGGGATATCTAGGCCGAGGAGTTAGCGGAAGAGGGCCGGATAGCCCAGAGACTGCGATTAAGGCGGAAGGATACATGTTGTGACGTTGTCTTCAGGTTAATGTGGCGAGAACCGTCTTCAACAAAATATGAACGAGCTAGAACGGCCAGAGCCTAGAAGCATATCTCCAGCAATTACGCATAACTTCCTATCGGCACTGGCCGGGCCCCTTAGGGCTGTCTAATTACCTTCCTTAGCATGTCAAAACAGTGCCGGCGATTCTTCTGCAAACAGAGGTGCCGATTAGTACCAACGGATTCACCACAAGGCCATATCTGCGACATGGCGTGCGCATGTGGCGAAACAGTAACGAGCACAAGAGTTGTCAAAATGGGATTGATTCGGCGGAAAAAAGAAGTTCGAGGTACGCCCCCAACCAAAAAGGATTTGCGGTGAAAACGCGCGCCTCGTCTTGATAGTGGGTCATATGAAGTATGTCTGTTACGGTTAAGCGTCAGTACGTCTTGTGTGCCGAGCTCTGATCGCCCAAGGCTCTGGAAGGCGCAGCTATGTCAGGGCAATCCGGTCAGAAGAGTAGAGAGGGACGACGGATGGACTCAGAGGTAGCATCTGGTGCTAGATTCGGTCTCTAACTTCACACTCCTCACTCCTGGCGGGATCTTATGACCGACATCCTTTAAAAAGGTAGAGTTTCATCGGTGGCAGTACGTGTACACAAAACAACGTTACTAACAACATGAGCACGAAATGAGATGATAGCACATGAACAAACTCACCATGGTGCTAGTAATCGCCATATATCCCATGTCATCAAGACGGGTTCTCTGTGAGGCGCTCTCTTACTGCCTTGGCCAATGTGGCTGCGTCGACTGGAATATTCGCTATTCAAACGGTAAGTTGGAAGGTTCAATCATGTTGGTTAGGGCTCTCTTGTGCAACAAGAAGCGACCAGAACTCTCCATAGGCGGCAGACACTCACTCCCATGAAAGTTCTCGGTAAAAGTTACACCCTAACCATATTCATAGACAAATCATGTTAATGCTAATTGATAGAGAAGGACAAACGCACGTCAGGATGGCTTCCCTTCGGATACGTGACGAGCCGGTCGTTCCATACAGAAGTGTGCTATACATGTTGGTAAATTGGATCATTTTCGTGACGAATTTGCAAGTAAAATTCAGGTTATTGTCAGCCCAAAACCATGGAGACAACGAGGCCGGAGTATACGGACCCGATGTCCAACGTTCCGCGCAAGCATCTCATAATCGAAAAGGAATCCTATCAAAGTTAGGGAGACAAGTCAGCTCAGTCCCGCAGGATAATCGCGTTGAAATCGCTCACCTTCTGGGTCAAAGATCTCGAAGACGGCTGAACGGTGCGATGGTGCCATCCATAATTGGTGCTAGGAGCCCATCCCACGTCAGCATAAGCAAGGGAATTTCAACCAGACACTCACGGTCAGGCCATTACCATGAACGCCGATAAGTACCTATGTCCCGGTTAACGAAGGCGTTCGAAGCGCACGAACGAACCCGATGTCAAAGTGAAAAAACGGAAAGGGAGAGAGCCAGGGTAAGGATAAGGATAAGGGAAGAGGAGGATAGGGTTTCCCTATCAGCACGAAACAAAAAGCAAAGCAAATCATAAAAACTGACTGTACTTCTCGCCGCAAGCTCAACCTGCTCTTTCACAGTCATCCGTTCCATCCGTGCCTCGCGAAACTCGCACACTCCCTCTGCTTCGAGATCCGCGAAGGCCATAATCAATGCTTCGTGGTCACTCTGTCGTAGCCGCCGTGCGCCAGCACCCTGTCGGCTCACATATGTGACAAGTGGCTTGAGCGAGGGCTTTTCAGCGCGATGCGGAGTTTTAGGATCGCCAGCAGGCGTTGGAAGATAGCCAAGGAGATTGGTGATAAGAGAGGTACGGATAGGTTCCCAAAAGTTTTCCGGAGCGGGGACAGCCATCGTCCCTGCGATCATTTTGGCCCACTGACCGGACCAGGGACTAGTCGAATAAGCGGGTCGGGTGAAGAAGGAACGGAGTGGAAGGATCGACGTACTGTCTATGTGCGGCTGCACGGTTGATGAGCATGACCCGCTCGAAAACAACAGTGGCGTCCAATGCTATCAAGTCCTCCCAATAATCCGACTCTTCGATTGGAGTACTTGGCCAAGCGGCGCGCATCAGGGGCCCATCTACTCCCGGATCATCTCTGAATTTTCCTTTGATAGAGAACTATCGCATCATGGCCAATGCAACCGTAAAAGGAGTGAGAACGATGTCAGAACTGCTTTTCTATACTTGCATGGTGCAACCACTTACCGGCATGAGAAACCGCCTCGGCGTCAGAACGTTCTGAG